CGGGTGCCTAGAGATGTTTCCAGCACACTCTTGCCAGCCCTAGCCCTGCCCACGGCACCAGGCAACCTTGAGCCAAGGACCCCTCTCTTCCACAGCTCACCTTGTAGCTATATAGCAGGTGGCGACCACGGTTTGTGCTCTGCCAAATGGAGCCCGTGTGTTGCCCAGGCTGCTGCTACAATGAGGCAGAAAGCCATGTGGCCCGTCGGAATTGGCATTAAAAAAATGTTTAAAAAGTTCAATCAATTCCAACTTCTCGCAAAAGAAAGGCTTGGAGGAAGCAAGAGCACCTGGGTGGTGGTGGGTGGGGCAAGTTTTTCTGCCCACAAAATCCTCATCTTTGACAGCTAATGCTGAAAGGCAGAGAAAGAGCTACCGGGAAGAAGCCAGATGGCCCGGAAGTTGGGAATACCCTTTCTCCCCCAGCCCCACCCCTTCCCACCTGCCACGCCCAAATTGCATTGATAAAAGAGGAGGATGGCTAAGTGAGGGGCAGAAGGCCTTGCCATGCCTGGTGAGGGGGAGAGAAGAGACGGCAAGAGGAGCCCCAATGCGCTCTACGCACCCCAGTAAAAGGCACACGCCCAGTCACTCATTCATCCCCCCTCTCTCCCTCCCTCACCGGATGAGGATTTTGTGGGAAGAAAACCTTGCCCTACCCACCACCACCCAAGTGCTCTTGCTTCCTCCAAGCCTTTTTTTGCCTACCGGTACCTGATTTCCAGCTCTGTCATGTTTTTTGCTGTTGTGTACAGGGAAACAAGTTTGTGGGACAGTTAAAAAAACTTATTATACGAGAAGTTGGAATTGACTGATTGAGCTTTTTTTTATGCCAATTCCAATGGGCCGCATGGCTTTCTGCCTCATCAGAGCAGCAGCCTGAGCAACACTCGAGCTCCAGGCCTGACGGAGCGCAAACCATGGTCACTGCCTGCTCCATAGCCACAGGGTGAGCTGCGGAAGAAAGGGGTCATTGGCTGCAAGGTTGCCTGGTGCCGTGGGCAGGGCCAGGGCTGGCAAGAGTGTGCCAGAAACATCTCCAGGCACCTGGAGATACAGAACTCCCGGCCCTTGCTGGCTCAGCTGATCCGCAGTTAAATAGCAGACCTGAGGTGATGGGGAAGGGAAGGGCTGCCTCCTGTGCTGGATAGTTCTACTCCCTTCACTAAGGCTTATTTTTGAAGCAGGGTATATATTAGTTCCACCCCCCAAATCAGGCTAAGACTTATTTTGGGGGTAGGTTGTATTTTCGGGAAAACATGGTATGTGTGCATATAATGAAAAGTTGGTGGACACTGCAAATATCCCAAAATATTATTACACTAAATAATTGTTGATCTGATACAATTATGGGTTTTTTAAAAAGATTTTCAAGATTTCAGCACCCCGAAATGTTTCATCAGGAATTTCAATACACAAATATTTAAATAATTCAAATATTTTGTGAAAAAATAATTTGACATCATTAGAAACATTTAAAAACTTTAAACTGACTAAAATAAAACTTCTGTCTCAAAGCATGCCATAATGGAACTAACTGATAATCAACTATTTTATCTATGTACCTACTCTTATGCATATGAAATATAAACAGTCCTGTGATTAGGTCAGTTTTTTCAATTTGCTCCATAACTGAATTGTGCAGTGATTTAAAATGATCAAAACAAAAAGAGTAAAAAATGGGGGGATCTCTCTACTCTGAATTTAATTCAGTGTCAGCAAATGTAAAGAAACAAACTTTTTTCTAAAACAAGGAAACTAGGTAAATAAAAGAGTCAATAAGAGAATATTACAACATTGTACACTGATCAAAGAAAGTGGACAATGTTATTTTCTGTCTTCCACAATATTAAACAAAAGGACATCTAGTGAAGTTGACTGATAAAACATTACAGGTGTTCCTTGTTTAATGACCCCACATTCAGCTACTGTTTGAACTTGCAATGACGCCGAATGAGTGGTACTTACAAACAGTCCTTGAATTTTCAGCCAGGCTTAAGATTTGACATTTTTCCTGCTGGGTCAATGGGGAAGCTGGCATGAAGTTGAAAATCCTGGTCACACAAAGTTCTTGCTTAACAACCCATGGCATTCACATAACAATTGCAAGAGGAAGGGCTCCCAGACCTGCAGTCACTAAGCAGCACGAACATGTGATGTTGAACTTTATGACCACATTGCTTAGTGATATAAATTCCAGTCTCAATTACGATCATTAAGTGAGTACTACCTTATCATCCCATAAATTAAGATGGTTAAAATATATGAAACAAATAATAGTAATAGCACTTATATATCACTCCATAGTGCTCTACAGAACTCTCTGGGTGGTTTACAATGTCACCATATTGCCTGCAACAATCTGGATCCTCATTCTACCAACCTGGGAAGGATGGGTCAACTTTGAGCCGGTCAGGATCGAACTCCTGCTGTGGGCACAGTCAGCCTGCAATACTACATTCTAAAACCACTGCAGCATCACAGCTCTTGAAGATGATAGCACATATCTTTTAGGATGATATCACTAATATGATAGTGTCTGTCTGTCTATCTATCTATCTATCTATCTATCTATCTATCTATCTATCTATCT